TCTTGGCACAACTTGGTGAGCACATCCAGGGCAGCATCTGTTAGCTGAAATATGTCAATTGGTATACCATCTACTCCTGGAGCCTTATTTTTTGCCATTTCCTTCAAAGCAGCCTGAACTTCTTTCATCACCACAGGCTCTCATGAAGAAATTGTTGAACTACGGTGTACTGTGCTCTGTAACATCAGTAACTAATATTTTTTTTAAAAAAAGTTGTTTTGCATTTTGAGGAACTACAACTTATTACTCTTCTCTGATTTTTATCCTTTTCTCCTTTCTTTTTCTTGAATTCAAATATGTAGACATTTCAGGACCTTTAAGAACTGACCTTGAATTTCTGTATCAGTTTATAAACTTATCAACCATCCTCCAATTATGGAAAATCAAGTTTATCTATTTCATCATTTAAAAATCATTAATTTTTTTTTCAGGAGCTGTTAGCAGATTAAAATTTACCTCAAGGACCTCTCCAAAATACTGAAGAGCAATGATGTCTGTTTGAAGACTAAGGTGCTCCTGATTCAGGCTATCATTTTTTCCATTATTTGTTATGCATCTGAAAGTTGGACAAAAAAATAAAGATGACAGAGTGATGCCTTTGAACTGTGGTGTTGGAGAACCGTACTGAGTAGTTCACGGACAAAAGTACAAATATGTATGTCTTGAAAAAGGTAGAGCCAAAGTCTTCCTTGAAAGCAAGGATGGCAAAGCTTCATCTCTCATACCTTGAGCATGTGGCTAGGTGAGGCTGTTCCTCAGAAAGAGCTACCATGTTTGACATTATGCAGGGTCAGTGAAAGATTGGAAGACCTTCAACAGGATGGACTGACACAGTAATTGCAGCAATAGGCTCAAGTGTATCAGAGATGGTGAGAATGGCACAGAAAAGGCCAGGATTCAGCTCTGTTGTTCATTGTTGTTGATTGCCTTCAAGGTGAGCATGACTCATAGAGACCCTATGAACAAAAGGCCTGAAGCCTTTCTATAATTATCACCATTTATCAAAGTTCGTAACAGTTTGCGGAGGCATGCTGTTTAGGAAGTAGATGCCACTCCTGCTGTTGTTCACAGGACTGTTAGAAGTTATACTAGACTCAAAAGCACCTGACAACAGCATATAACAAGTCACCAATTATTTTTTCTTCCTGTTTTGGGTTTGGTGTTGGGTTGGTTTTTTTGTTTTTTTTTTTTTTCAATTTATGAGACAAAGCAATACAAGAAGTAATTATATAATACGTAAATAAGCTTAGGTATTATGCAGGGAAAAATATCCTGAAAGTGATGAATTAAGATTTAAGATTAATTATCTAATGAGTTTTCAAACACCATGAAACCAAGGTAGACCAATCATATATATAATTAATTACCTGGATTATATTTTACTTTATTGTATGATTTTTAAACTGTCAGCCTCCTGAAAATGTTAGGATTATTCTATCCCAGAAGACTCTTCACAAAATATACAACTGATAATAATAATATGCACATTATTAACATTCTTTTTATTTGACAAAAGATCTAACCATTTAAGTATATTAAAGAGTGCTGAATACTAAAACAAGAGCTACAAAAATCTCTCCAAACAAGTAGATCAAAACCATTGCAGTTTTAATTTTTTAAATGTGCTCTGCAGTTAAATTGATTCTTATAGCAATGCTACTTAAAACAGTTCCAAAATCAGTAATGAAAGCTTTTATATAAATATAAAATAGAAAGATAGATAGATAGACCCCAACATTCTACACAGTGGAGCTTTGGTGGCATAGTCTGTAACAAGCTGTGCTGGTAATCCAAATTTCTACATATAACAATCACAATTACATTTTTAACACTTTTTATGGGGAAAAGGTAGTAGAAGATACTAAAATACTAATAGTGAAAATCTTAGAAATAGGGAAATGATATATTTTTTCTATTATTTTATGTTTTTTTCTTTATTTTCATTAACATGACTGTTAAAAGGAAAAACAATTTCATTTCTGTTTTTTAAAGTGTTTAAGGTTTGCTAATCATTTCCATTTTTTCTAGTACTGAAGTATAATAGAATCTAAATCCTACCAAAAGGAAAAAAAAATGACAATGGAAGTTATCAACTACTTATATTTTAAAAAATATTAAAAACACAAAATTTGGCAAAAGATAGAAGAAATCTGAAATTTTCAGTTCTTGCTTGGCTCATTGTCTTAGCATGACTGGAACCCATGAACATTTATTTCCCTAATAAAGTCACAACACAGACCAAAAAACTCATTAAAAAACAATCAGGAAACAGTTTAATGAGTTTTTAATGTTCCAAATGTGATTTAACTCACATCACAAAGGTTGTTAACACTTTGTGTTTTATATGCAAAGTAGGAAAATAAGGTTGCCTCACTTGTGAAATATGATTGATTGAAGATTCCATTCTTCGTAGTTGGGATGCCTGGATATCCAGCATTTGCAGAACATTGTTGGCCAAAGTATTTATGAGATAGGCAACACTTGCTAAGGACTGGGTGGTGTAAGCTTTGGTTTCTTCCAGGGCCCGCTGCTTATCTGCAGACTAAAGGAAAACAAAAGAAAAAAGAATTCACAATTCATTACTAATTCAAGGGTTATCTATTTGTGTAATCTAACTCACAAGAACACTCAAACTATATTTTGTGTTCCCACATCTACACATATTGTAAAAATGTTGCAAGAAGAAAAAATCATCAATATCATGTAAACACAAGTATAACTGAGTTCACTTAGAGTGTCAAGTTAGGCTGCTGCTGTTAGCTGCCACTGAACCAGTATGACCTATAATGACCCTATAAACAACAGATCCAAATCCTGTCCTATCGCATGCCATCTTCACACCTTCTGATACACTAGAGCTCAATGCGCAGTTACGGTATTAATCTACTTGGTTAAGGATCTTCTTCTCCTTCGCCGACCCTCTACCATTACCAGCATCACGTCCTTGAAGGAAAAGACTCCTCCTAGCAGCATGTCAGAAGTATGTGAAGCAAAGCTTCACCCTCCTGGTCTCCAAAGAGCACTCTGGCTGCACCCTTTCAAAGACATATTTGTTATTCTGGCAGTCCGTGAAATATTCAGTGCTTTTCTCCAACACCACAGCTTTAAATATAAATTCTTTTTCTGTCATCCTTATTCACTGTCCAGCTCTCTGAAGCACATCAAGTGTTAAGAAAGACCATGGCAGCCCCTCCCCCCACCTCCTCAGCTTACTTTTGAGGCAAAACCAAGAACTCCACCCCCTTTCTCTGTACAATCACCATGGCGGCTGGGACCTCTACAAATATCCCGAAAATTGGGGGGCCTTCAAGGCCCTCATCACTGTTCAGTGCAGTGGGGCTCAAGTCTGCGTGCTCTCCCACTTCCATTTCCGCCAAACCAACCACAACCCTGAACTTCTCTGCAAGTTTCCAGCAAGGTTCCAGCTTTTGAGGGTGATGATGGATTCTGTGTGTTTGAGAGCAATGCCGTTGCCTATTACGTGAACAATGATGAGCCGCAGGGAAGTACTGGAGAGGCAGCAGCGTACGTGGTGCAATGGGTGGGCTTTGCTGACAGCAATATCATTCCCCTAGCCAGCACTTGGGTGTTTCCCACCTTGGGCAGCATAACAAGCAGGCTACAGAGAATGCTAAGGAGGTGAGGCGAATTCTGGGCCTCCTGGACGTTCACTTGAAGAGTAGGACTTTCCTGGTGGGTGGGCACGTGACCTTGGCGGACATCACCGTTGTCTTTACCCTGTTGTGGCTCTACAAACAGGTGCTAGAGCCCTCTTTCCGCGAGGCCTTCCCCAATATCAACCGCTGCATCACCTGCATTAACCAGTCGCAATTCTGGGCGGTCCTGGGGGAGGTGAAGCTGTGTGAGAAGATGTCCCAGTTCGATGTTAGAAAGTTTGCGGGAAGCCAGCCTAAAAAAAGACATCCACAGAAAGAGAAGGGACCCCAGTAGGAGAAGCAGAAGGCCCAGCTTGAGCAGAAAAAAAGATAAAAAGGCAGCTGCTTGGGCTCCCAAGGAGGAAGAGGATGAATATGAGCAGGCGCTAGCTGCCAAGCCAAAGGCCAAGGACCCCTTTGTTCACGTGCCCAAAAGTAAATTTGTGTTGGACGAGTTTAAGCGCAAATACTCCAATGAGATACGCTGTCTGTGGCCCTGTCCCATTTTTGGAAGCATTTTGATAAGGACGGCTGGTCCTTGTGTATGCCGAGTACTGCTTCCCCACGGAGCCCATCCAGACTTTCATGAGCTTAAACCTCATCGCTGGAATGTTCCAGCGATTGGATAAGCTGCAGATGAACACCTCTGCCAGCGGTATCCTCTTGGAACAAACATTACCAGCTCCATTTCTGGAGTGTGGGTCTTCAGAGATCAAGAGTTGCCTTCCCGCAGAGTCCAGAATGACAATGAGTCCTACACGCAGCGTAAACTGGATCCTGGCAGTGCAGAGACCCAGACACTGGTTCGAGAGTACTTCTGCTGGAAGGGGGCCTTCCAGCACATGAGCAAGGTCTTCAACCAGGGCAAGATCTTCATGTGAGCCAACGGTTTGTCACCTTGCTACCTGCACCTGCCCTTCGGGAAGAATAAGGGTCATTAAAGGAAACTGAACAAGGGGGGGGGGTGTGTGGAGGAAGACCACGACCTAAATCAGACACACCTTAGTCCTCAAATTGACATCAATGCTCCTCAGTAATTTGGAGAGGTCCCTACTGCAGACTTTCCCAGTGAAATATCTCTCCTGACTCTTGATTGCTAGTACCAATGGTGTTAATTATGGATCCAAGTAAAATGAAGCTGTTGACCATTTCAATCTCTTCTCCATCTATCATAATGTTTCAGCAAGCAGGGTTGTGTCATCCGCATAATGCAGGTTGTTGATAAATCGTCCA